AGCTCAAAGGTTGAGTTTTCCCTCACACTTATAAATTGACCACCAGCCCCTTCCACTTCCGATCCGGTGGGCTGAGACTTGTTGACAAGTTGGGCTCTGATACCAATGTTGGGTGGTCTTGGGCCTTCTCAATCCAAAAGCTTGACCACCAGCCCCTTCCACTTCCGATGTGGGATAACCCAAAAACCTCTACGGGGTTGCCAAATAACATACTTGGTGATGCTTATAAGCCTTCGTCATACTTGAAGCCTCTACAGGGTTATCAAACACTATGCCTGCTGATGCTTATAGGCCTCCATACTGCAACAAAAATGATTATTAGTGGCATTTAATTATTAATTGCCGCTAAATATGTATTTTTAGTGGTCGTTGTCACTCTTTGTATATGCCCCTAAAGCCTTTAGCAACAATGATTCTAATGACACTTAACTAATGCCGGTGAAGACTTTAGCACTCTTTATTAGTATCAATATTTAATGCTGCTAAAAGTTATTTTTATTGTAGTGCCACCATATTTGGAAGCGTCTACAATGTTGCCAAACACCATGCTTATAGGCCTCCACCATACTTGAAAGGCTCTATGTGGTTGCCAAACACCACAGCTGGTGATGCTTAATTATAGGCCAAAATTTCTACGTGGTTGCCAAACACCAAACCCAATGATGTTGCTGTCAGGAGCTCTACATCTGATACCTATCAATTTGTTGATACTGTTCCAGCAACTGAACTATACCGAAGCAGTGGCTCGCGAGCAGTTGATGCTGTTCCATCTGCTGTGCCTGCTCATTCTTCGGTCTACTTGTACTGGTTGACGTAGTTTTGCCTTGGGCACACTGCAGGCATTACTTTCTACCTTAGTATCCCATTTTTGTAGTATAGCCAGTCTAGTTGTGATTCCGCCTAGGTCTCTTGAGATGCATGTACTCTCTTAAATGTTTGTGTTTCATTAGCTGTTAAAAATCTTTGGCTGATGTTCCAGTTCACATATTTCTACATTATATGCTTTTCCCCTCTTACATTATGCTTCTCTGCTCTCAGAGATGGATTTGAGCTCATTAACAGGACTTATCCCCTGATCCACTGCTTGTGATGGTGGTTTGAAACTCTATTGCCATATACTCGTATTCAACAATGTTTGATCACTATACCCTATGAAGTATACTTCATAACTGTTTTAGGATGCCTGTTTAGCTTACAAGGATCTTCATAAAAGGGGCCGAGTTGATTCAAGTCTTGCACATGTGGAATAGGCATGGAGGGGAATGGTACCTTTGTTTTCCACATCAATAACGGGAGCTGTTAAATAAACAGATAATTTGCATCGAATTGGTTGATGCATAGTTCTCCAAAGACTTGCTTTTCTAGGGGATGCATTTTCATCAAGGAACTGAATTGGAAGATGACCGTTACCTGCATTGCAGGTATATTGTAAATTTCTTTGATAGATCATAGTATTAGGAAGTTACAAGTATGTATTCGATTAGGCATCCGTGTAAAATATGCTCTGTCAATGATGTGTTGTATAAGGAAAGCAATATGTATGTATTTGAGTTTCAAATACCACTAAACTTCATATGACACTTCAAGTTAAAAAGTCATTGTACATGCAGTATTCAACATGGGTATATATAATGTGTTCTGAAAATTTAATACAAATTCTCTATATATGCATGAACCATGGCCCTGCTACTCTTTTATAATGATTTGTTCTATGGTTTTAAGCTTATGTAATGCTTTGTTCAATTAGTTACAAGACTTGTTCAAAGGGTAAAGAAGAATCACTTAAAAAAAGGGGGGGGGGGGGGAGGGGAACTTTCCAAGTACATCATGGACTTTGGTACTAACTGGAAAGAATATTTGAAGATTGAACTAGTCTATAGTTGAGAAATTGCAACAAATCATTTGTTAATGGTTCCTAAAAAAGACGATTTTGTACCTCGAATATGAAATCTCTAGTCAAAAATGAAAAGTACTTATTACTCCGTTACAACCCTTGTTCTTATTAGAAAGTTAAAGAGTATTTTTAGGGGATTTTGTGGGAGTTGATTTTACGGAATTGTCCCTTTCTTTATCCCACTTTTTTCTTTCTTTTTCTAAAATACATTTCTTTGTAGACTAGATTAATGCTTGTGAATATTCTTCTTTTTATATTTTATTTTTTGATTTTTTATTTCTATGGGGTGGGGACTGGGGAAATAACTTGCACAAGATTAAAAATTAGTGAATAAACCTAGACGATAAAGCACGGAATTTTAATTTTAATGATACATAACATGTCACGCAACAAATATAATATACTAACAAATTGTAAGTTAATTCCATGCTTAAGTGACAAGCAATGATTTGATTAAATCTAATCTGAAAAGATTAGTAATTAATGCCATAGAATAATACCTTAAAGATATGATTCAAATCAATAAATTTTCCATGAATAAAAAGAAGAAAGAATGTTAGATCCAAAAGGAACTCATTTCTCAAAAGTGTTTTAACAATTTTCCACATGAAGAACATGGATTTTAATCTTTATTAAGAATAAAAAGTTTTAGCACTCAAATGCATGCATACCAAATCCTATATGGAATCTCTCCCCTTTTTTCCAACTCCAATCATTGGTTTAGGAAGCAATTATTGGTAGGGGCACCCTATCTTTGATGATCAAAGGTATATATATAAAGGCGTGCGTGTAGAAACAGATTCAAAATTTTATATTATTTATATATATTTAATAAATTTCTTAATATGTGTGTATAATTTTGATGAAAATTAGTTAATTCTAGCTCCGCCTTAGCATGTGTACTACAATATGTAAAAGGGGGGTATTAGTTAATATTATCAAGAAGTTGGAAGGATTTATCATTAAGTTACAAAACATAATTTTATATATATATGTAATTGTTAGGTAGTTAAAAAGCGACAACAAGAGAGAATTTCCTTGTTAAATTAATACTAATATTGTTTAAGCATTAAACAAAGAGAATTAAGTTTTCAAAATTTGTACATTATTGAAGGTTCAAACTACTCTAGGTGGCAACAAAACAATTTACTGAACTTGTATAATTGAAAGTCGATCTTATTGGCCTCCATATCATTTGTTTAATTATTTGCCTCTTATTAATTAGTACTTAATAGCATTAATGATATCCAGAGTCATTATCTAAAATTGAATAATATATCATATATATACACATCTACAAATAGTTGAAAATGACTAAAATTTCATTTATTAATTAGATATTTTGGAGATATAGACATGTCCAACTTGACATCCTTTTCACTAAAGAAATAAAAATCCAATCGAATCGAATCGAATTAAATTTTTTTTTTTGATTTCAATATTAATTTTTTTTAAAACTTTAATATTCGATTCGATGCTAAGATTTATTTTCAGAATAGCTTAAATAAAGCAAGAAGATTTTAAGAACATTATTTTGGCATGATAATTGAAGGCAAAGGTATACCTAATGCAATTGCAAACAAGGGAACCTATATTATTAAGTCCACTTTAATTTCCCTTGGACTTAATTGTGAACAAGGGACACAAAGAAACATTTTTTTTTAATAGAATTTTTGGTGTGTTCTTGTTTTAGGTGATGATGGACAGTTGACCGGAAGATAACTTCGATTCGCCCGGCCAGCAGGCGGGCGGCGTGCTTATCTTGTGTGACAACACTACAGAGCGAGTTGCTCTTCTAGGCGGGCAGCTGTGTGACAACACTACAGAGAAAGCGGCGCTTTCGTGTAACATGCTATGGTCTCAACGCCCTTACGAGAGAAGGATTGGATGTTGACCTATCAATGAAGGGGATAATACCAAACAAAGCCATTTCAAAGGCTTGATTAGTTAATTATGAACACAAGTTGTAGTGGGCATTATATAAAAAGTTTTGGTTGATAGGCTACAACCTAAAACTTTGAAATTCATTTTCTATTAACTAGGTGTGTAAATGAGTGACTTCCAAAATAAAAAGAAAAACAAATTATTTATTTGCACACTAAGTTTATATTAAGTCATGAATACATGACATATCTATAATAAATAAATAATGAAACATTTAAATATCGTTAAGTGAAGTGATTTGTAAACTTTTAATTTTTGTAACTTAAAAAAAAAATTGTTTATTAGTGCAAATATTATAAGAATTTAAGTATATTTCACGTAAAACGTATTTTGCAATAACTTTAATCTATTTATTACTCTCACTTTTTTTTTTGGTTTTTTACGGAAATAAGAACTAATCACATTTTAATTCAAACATCGTAAACATATTTCAGGTAAACTCTACTCTTTTCGAATTCATTTTATTCATAAGTCGATAAAAAAATTATTTGGCAGTCAACATGTTAGTATATATAAATTCTTGTAGAAACAAAATACTATTCCTTACATTCCAATTCACGTAATATCCTTTTATCTTCGATTCATCTTTCAAAAACATAACATTTTCTTTATATAAGTAAATGATTTAAATTCAGACTTTTAATTTACTCTTCGAAAAAATAATCTATAGTTACATATAATTCTTTGCTTCTCTACACACTTTGGAAATTATATTTTTCTCTTAAATTTAATTTTCACTCAAATACTTTCACATGATTTTAAATAAATAAAGTGTATCATTTCTTTTTAACTGCTTAAACTTTAAGAAACAAAGTTATTCAATTTCATATTAAAACAAAACATTAGATATCCAATAAAATAATCAAACATACACAAATTAACTCGAACACTGCCAAAATTACAAATGAAACCATCACAAGGGTAGTAGTACTTTTTAATCTCATCACAAGTTTGGTGGTCTGTGTATTAGTACTTACAACTCTGAAATGGCTCAAGAAAAGGGCCAATGAGGAACAACAGGCGGTTAAGGAGAGAGAGAGTGGAGTAGGAGACTGATTTAGTGACCCCATGTCCTTTTCTCTTGATGAATAAAAAAAATTGTTTTGTGTGTTTTCAAACCCCACAAATAGCCCTGAGAGAACAGGTCTGCAAAGGACAAGATTTTCTGTACCATAAGATGAGTTTCAAATTTCATAATCATTATAATTGATTACAACAGGATGAGGGAGATAAAGTAATAAAACCCACCCTTCCAAAAACAAAAAACACAACTAGTATAAAGACTAATTATTTTCTTCTTAGAGGAGGAGAAAGAAAGACCAATAAAAGATCAACAAACTGGACCCTAGCTGTTTGTATATATGTCTCTGTGTGTGTGACACATATATACTTTGACAAGAAAGTTTTGATCTTTACTGTCTAATTCTCATTTGGTTCTTTGAGAAGATCATTTCATTAGAAACTAAGGTGAAAAATTTAACTAGCATCTTTCTTTGGTTTTACTTTTACTTCAAAGCTTACATCTTTTTCTTGTTTTTTCTTTGAGAAGTTCAAGAATGGTCTGAAAAGGTTGGTTTTTTGCATGGCGAGTCAAGGAATTGGAGAAACTGGTTTGACAGATTCTGGATCATCACACCATAATCACAATATGCCATATGCTGTTTATAGGGGGTTAAATCCTGCTAGCACAAGCTTCATGTATCATTCTACTCCCAAGTAATTAAAAATCCTGTTTTTTTTCCCCTTATGTTTTGGTTTAAAAATACATTTAATTTCAGCTTTTAACATATTTTGTGTTGTAGTGGTAATCAAGAAGGAGCTGGTTTTGATTTTGGAGAGCTAGAAGAAGCTTTTGTACTGCAAGGATTTAAGATGAGTAATGATGAAGCTAAAGCATGTATGGTTTTTTTTTTTCTTTCTGACGTTTGCAATGTATAACCAACTCATTACTGTAAAGCAAAGAAGCAAAGGGTGTTTGAATAAGTCCATAGAAAGGTTCATTAAGAGGCTTACTATTTCCAATATTGTAATCATTCTTGTGCAAAAGACTTGAATGGCGTGGGGTTTCAAACAAGGAAACATGAACCCTTGCATGATTTACTGACTTCATAACTGCAGCTAAAAAGGAAAAAAAAAGAAAAGAAAAAGAGGAGATTAGGTTCTTCCCTTTATGATGTTTTGAAAGTTTTTTTTCTCTTTCTTATGTTCTTTTTTTTTATGCTGATCCTTGAAGATTTTGCTTTTGTGATTCTGTACAGCTTTATATGCAGCAGCAGCCACAGGGAAGCCTGCTGCAACTTTGGAGATGTTCCCTTCTTGGCCTATGAGATACCAACAGACCCCAAGAGTACTTAATTTATTTTTTCCTTTTTATGCTTATCCTTCTTTGACCATGTTGTTTTAAAATTGTCCTTTGTGCAATACAAGCTTGGACTTTTACTCAAAATAGGCAAACCCCTCTTGGAAACTTTTATATAATGAAGGTTAAGATAATTTTGCACACCATTTAAATCTGTTTTCTTGGCTTTGTCTTTTTACATATAGGAAAACTCAAAATCAAGAGAAGAAAGTACTGATTCAGGTTCACTTTCAAGTAGAGCTCAACCCCATTTTGAGCCAGAATCTCCCATCAGTAGAAAAGCATCTTCAGACCATCAACTTCAGATAACACACAAATCTCAAGAACAGCAACAGCTTCAAGATATGGCAAGTAATAATAATCCAAGAACAGGAGTTTTACAAACTGAACTATCTTCCAAGTCCAACAGTGAAAAGGTTTTTCTCACAAAACTTTATTTCCTCTTCTATTATCATATCCCAAGATCTCAGGAAAAAAGGTGGAATCTTTATTGTATAGACACAATCACAAATCCCAACAACTGCTAATGAATACACTTAAGACACAGTTTTCTGAAGGATTCTCTGAGATCAGAAGTGAAATGAAAAGAGAATCTTTACAGTGCTTTTTATACTTTTTACCTCCTTATGCACTATTCATTACTGTAGTTTAAGCTCCAGTTTATAATATTTTCACTTATCCCTAGAACTGTAGTTAACTCCTTGTTCTTCAGGTTTTTAAATCTTTCTTGAAACCAGAAAAAATAAATTCACAAGAATACCAGATGATTCAATGAATTAGCTCATGTATACATCATCAGATGTTTTATTCTTAAATGCTTGCACACCAGTAGTAGTGTTTGAAAATATACAACTTTGATTCTGTCCAAAAATCTTAAAGTCTTAAAAAAAGAATCTGCATTATTTGACACGCTATACTACTTTTTTTAATTGCTTAACGAATATTTATCTTCACGCAATTGAAGTATTCTCTTCTTGAATATTTCTACATAATTAAACAACATTAGTATATATAACTAGCTTTTGTTTTAATATATATTTTTTGTAGAAAAAAGGTGCTGCTTCAACCTCAGAGAGGGTACTTGATCCTAAGGTGGGGGTGCCCACACATATTCGCTTTGCCAAGAATATACAATTAAATTATCTTGTTTCCTAATTGGAACTTTTAAAATTATTAAACAGTACTATTTCTTTCTACTTTGTTTATTGTAGACATTGAGACGTTTAGCTCAAAATAGAGAAGCAGCAAAGAAAAGCAGGATAAGAAAAAAGGTAATGTTTTTCTTGTTTCCATTATCAAAGTCATTTATATGCCAAATTCCTCTATCAATATTCTTTACATTTTTCCATTCTCATTATTATTATTTGCATTTATGCAGGCTTATGTACAACAGCTAGAAACAAGTAGGATAAGACTTTCTCAGCTAGAACAAGAACTTCAAAGGGCTAGCTCTCAGGTTGGTCATATTTGAAAATGACTTGCACCCTTTTTTTTTTTGTAGAATAATGAATGCAGTGGTTATTTAATGATTTTTTCTACTGCTTGTTGTGGCAAACAGGGGATTTTCTTGGGAGGTGGTACTGCTGCTGGTTCCAATATCAGCTCTGGTAAGTTTGGACTATTATTGTAGCGGGTAAAGTTGTTGTTATGTGACCACGGGTTCAAGCTATGGAAATAGTCTCTTGCAGAAATGCAAGGTTAGGCTGTGTACAATAGACCTTTTGGGTCCAACCTTTCCCCGAACCCGCACATAGCGTGAGTTTAGTGCACCGGACTTCTCTTTTTATTTTCTCAACCAATGCATTGCTTATGGACAACCAAGAATATAAATTCAACTTATACTACTGTATACATTACCAATGTAATTAAATTTTTACCTATCAGTACATTTTAACTCATTATAGTTCAGAGTTTTGACTATACAGGCAGCACCCAGAATTTGTTGCATTATAATTCTTATTGGCTTCTAGTAGCAGACAAACAACTTGAGTTTGACTACAGAAAATTTGTCTTTTTCTTTTGTACTCCTTTGTGTGACATTATGTAGAAAATCAGAGTACTCCAGTGTATATGGGTTGAAATTGTATTTGACTGAATACAATCTTTAGAGATTTAAATTTAATTTACATATTCTATTAGTATTACTAAAATAAGAGTTAAAAGGATATTACTTTTTTACTACTTCATAAAAATAAAAACACTGTTTGAATGTCAACACCATGCATTTGCTAATATTAGAGCCTTAATAAAAACAATTGACAAAAATGCATTGTTCAATTTTTTGCTGCAGGTGCTGCAATATTTGATATGGAATATTCAAGGTGGTTGGATGATGATCATAGGCACATAGCCGAGCTTCGAACTGCATTACAAGCACATTTATCAGATGGTGATCTTAGATTAATAGTTGATGGATACCTTGCTCATTACGACGAAATTTTCAGCCTAAAGGGTGTGGCAGCAAAATCTGATGTATTTCACCTAATCACTGGAACGTGGACAACTCCAGCTGAACGCTGCTTCCTTTGGATGGGTGGTTTTAGGCCCTCTGAGCTTATCAAGGTAAATGTTGCAATTTAGGACTGATTTTCTGACCTATTGTTGGATAATTTTCATGAAAAAGCAAAAAAAAGAAAGTTGTATATTGTTATGTCCGAAGTAAATATGTTTTTCATAAAGATATGACGAATAAAGATTGTCCTTTTAAAGGAAAAACATGGTCGAGGTGGTGGCATATCATATAATTTAACCTGTTACAGCAAATTGTCTGTAAAGTAATTATAATTATATTTTAGATGATCTTTCTTCTAGTAAAACTACAATATGTCCATGTCAAAGTTCGAATGAGATCAAATTTACTGTTTTTGTTGTTTCTAATCATACTATGATCATTTGTGAAATTGAACAGATGTTGATAGGACAATTAGACCCTTTAACAGAGCAACAAGTAGTTGGAATATACAGCCTCCAACAATCTTCCCAACAGGCAGAGGAAGCTCTTTCACAGGGACTAGAACAACTACAACAATCTTTAATTGATACCATTGCCACTGCTTCTCTCCATGATGGAATGCATCATATGGCTCTTGCATTGGGGAAACTCTCCAATCTTGAAGGATTTGTTCGTCAGGTAAACATTATTCCTAAATTTGTTTACAATATTCGTTTTTCTCTGATATTATTATTATCTATGTAGATTCTAAGTGCATATGTCATTGTCCATTTTACCTACTCTTTTTGACTCAAAACTATAGTAAGTTTTTCTCAAGTACATATAGTAAGTTTGCAACTGTTGTCATGAAACAGTGTTCAGAAGTACTACTATTCACTAGTAAGTATGTATACATTTTATTTTTCCTTTTCATTTGATATCCATGTCATCAGTCGCGTAGATAGTAGGTTTCATCAATGAAGTTCAATATTTACTATATATACATATAACTAACTTTTGATGTCGTATATAGTATATACAAAAAAATGTGATTTTCAAGCGATGAACTCCCTTCCGCCCCTGCTTATCATGCACACTCGAGGACGAAAATACTCTGGTTTTCTATTCATTGCTTCAATTATACCATTTGTAGATAAAGAATGCACGCATGCTTGATAAGATCATTGTTATTATTATTATCATTATATTTTATTTAACTGTATCCCTATCATGTTCCAATAGAAGCCATAGTAGAGCTATCAAGAAACTAAAACAAATTACAAAAAATTATTAAACGTATTATTACTTTACTTCAAATAATAGACATAATACCATTACCACTTATTTAATGATTGGAATATTCCAAGGCTATCTCAATACAACTATACAAGACAATTTGAAGGGTTTCAACCATTTAAAACATTGTTTAAAGATATTATGTCCATTTCAAACTTCTAATTGATTTTTTATTTTGATTGAGATATTTAATTAATCAATTCTTTTGTCTCCATTGTCTATATCATTTGGTAGATATGATGACGACATAAGTTGAGCTTAAACGAAGCAGTAAAGATTTCATTCATGTAGCTGACCCCTTTACTTATTTGAGACTGAAGCGTATAACTACTGATCACTTCTTTATTGTTGATAATTCCAGGCTGATAATTTGAGACAACAAACATTGCATCAATTACACAGAATATTAACAGTTAGACAAGCAGCCAGATGTTTCTTGGTGATCGGAGAATATTATGGTCGACTACGAGCTTTAAGTTCTCTATGGTTATCTCGTCCACGAGAGTAAGATTCTATAATTTATGATCTTGTAAACGAATAGTTTTGTCGTAAAAATATTTTCATTCAAATCGTTATCTTATTTCAATTATCTTTATATGATTTAGGACGCTGATCGCGGATGATAATTCTTGTCAAACAATAACGGGATTACAAATGGTACAATCTTCTCAGAACCACTTCTCAAATTTCTGATGATAAATCTCTTCATGATGATCAAATTGTATTTCTGAGAGCTACCTACTTAGTTAAGTAGATTTTATTTTTTCATTTTTGTTGTTAGCTTCTTGATATTATGACTAAGTTATCATGTAAATGTAAGGAATCAAGATTATGTGCAAGAGGAAGTTACCTTTAGGGTCTGTTGGTTCAAAAATCAGGTTATTCAAAGATTATAATCACGATTATCTATCACACATAAATATAAAAAAAAAAAAAAACGTACGTTGAGCAATAAATGTTAGATAATTTGAAATTTATATATTAAGTTTATTTGTGGAAAAAGGACAAGAGAGAATTGGGAGATAAGGTATGAAGCTGACTCAATATAATTGTCTTTATTTGTAGTATTTTTAATGAGGATTTTAGAAAGATAGTTGGTTGTTCTTCATTTCTGTGAAGTGGTTGAGAATATTATTTTAAGGAGGAAGGGACAAAAAAATAACAAAGAAAAAAAGAAGCAAATTATTAGTTGGATATAATTGTCTCTTGCAAATGGAAGATATATGATGTTAATTGAGAGGGTGACTTGCTCTTGGTGTGCATGAAGGGACTTGTCAAGTTGTGTATAATTTTTTAATAGAGAAATGGAGAGAGGACTTGTATATGATTGATTAAATTATTTGATATTTATGTTAATAGAAGATAATCAATAAATATTCATTAAAATAAGGGTGAAGTAGAGAGATTGTATATGTATATATTAATAATCTAATTATTTTTATTAGGAGTATAATCCTCAGATAATTATGAAGTTTGAATTTAATCGAACCTCAATATAAATACGAAATATCAAACAGAAACAAATAAAAAATCAAGGGAATTTGTATATACTAGTATGGCACACACGTAACAACATGTGGATTCTTCAATGGGAAAGAAAAAAAGGCAAAAATTAGTTGCTATGAATACCTAATTCATCCACTCCCATGAATATGAGGAAGTTGGTTGTATATTTGCTTTTTCTAAACCCTTTTTTTTCTTCTTTTTTCTGTTTCAATATAAATTTCATCAACTTTTGAGCTGATGAAAACGAAGATATTGTCTAGGGAGTATATGTGGTCGAATTGATTCGGCTTTTTTAAATATCAAATCAAATTAATAGTGTCAAATTTTTAAATTTATAAACCAAATCAAATTAATAAAACTCTAGTTTTTTAAGTTGCTACGATGCTGCAAGGTTCAAGAAATTGTCCATTTCTTTTTGTTACGTTACTCATATTTCGACAATCAGGTACGACCAATCAGACAATGATAGTATATTCAATGTTTATGAACGAAATTTGAAGAGGGTAGTGTGTACGTAGTCTAATTCATATCTTGGAAGATCAAGAGATTATTTTATATGTATCCTTGACACAATTAAAACATATCAAATGATTAGGAAAAGGATATACAATAGTGAAGAAGTCATGTCGAAAATAATGGAGAAAAAACCCATAACAATAACAAATATATTATACATAGTACTGTATCTGAAGTAAATAAAATAACAAATAATCGAAAACAAAATAGTAGAATTATTTCTGCTTGATACTCTTTTGGACTACATTTTCGAAATAAAAAAATGTTTGAAAAATAAAATGAACATTTTTAAGGAAAATTCATAGGAAATAATAAATATTTCAAATTATTCTAGTAAATCATTTTACACTTAAATAGTTCACTACTTTTGATTGGCATAAGGATTTTAAATTTACCTATGAAAACATAATTAATTAAAGTGGAAATACCTGTCATTATCAGCGTGCTTTCGCTTACTGAATTAAATTTTAGTAGTTTGTGTACTACCAAATGATTATGACCAAATCTTTATTATTAAAATCTCATGTCGTTTTAGTAATTAGGTTTTGCCTTAATGATATGTAAAATTATTCTTTAATTGGTACTAATTGTTTTGGTGGTCCAAAAGTAGTACTTAGGTAGTTTTTTTTTAAAAAAAAACAGCTTGATGTTTCAACGAAAACGTAGGTTTTTAACCTAACTATGTAAAAGCAAAAATATAAATATATGTTCTCGGACGGAAGGATTCAAACCTAAAAATCAGTTGCCTTACTACTTGAGACCATGCTTCGTTTAACTCAATCAATATGTTCGGAGTTTAAAGGTATAAAATATTAACAAAAATTTTGAAACGGTATAAAAAAATTTATATTAATTAAAACGGCAAAATCGCTGGAACAACAATGATTTGAATTTTTTTTTAAAAAAAATCACGTTTTGCAAAATCGCTGCAGTAATAGCAATTTTGCTTTTTCCGGTAGAGGAAATCGCTGTTGTTCCAGCGATTTTGCCGATTTAATTAATATAAAATTTTATATACTATTTTGGAATTTTATTAATATTTTATACCCTTTAGGCTTCGAACTCCTCAATCAATGAGTTTGGAAACGAGTCCGCAAAATATTATTGAGTCTAAGTGAACAATATTATCATCCGTGCTTTGACGGAGCTAGGCATGCTGAGGTGATGAATGAAATGAACCTACATCTAACGATGATGATCAAAGTGTCTTTATTAATTACATTTTGTCCAGGCTAATCATTGAATACTTGTAAGCATTTCTACAATTTTGATGTAGAAATTTATAGTTAAGAAGTCCTTAATTGTTGTGAAGCGTCAACTAATTGAAGAATCGAAAAAACTTATCCACATCAGATATTTACACCAAGTCAATGCAATACGTGATTTAATGAACAAAAACACAAGTAAACTACTTATGATTAAATAAAATGAACTACTAATTTAAACACATGGCATTCATGTATTGCCTTGGTGTTATAAATACCCAATTCGGATAAATTTTATCACTTGTTCACCTAATAATAGAATGATCTAGTGCTTTATTTTATTTATTTTCTTGACAATTTTTATTAAGTGGAATTTTGAGCAAATATGATTGAAGCAGCTCACCAGGTTTTCGAAATTAAACAAGAACGTAAGGACAAACAGATAGGAGTAAAAAAATCTACGTTAATCAACTTTCAATATCCCCAACAACCCAATATTACAAAAATAAAATGAAAATAACTAAAGAAGGAGAAAAAAATGGATCAAATAAATCTTTTTTTTTAGATTTTACGCAAATATCATAGTGCTAAGAGCTAATCAAATTTTATCCCTACTTTTTTACAAATTACAAAAATTTCTTAAATTTAGTAAAATCTAGAGACATCCCAAAACGTTCCGATACCACGCATCTTGGTTTCGGATACATCCCTCATACATTGCTTCATAGTCCGAATACTTCATTCAATGTCTCGATACATCGCATAAAGTGATACATCTGATCAACACATCGTGCAGTGTGATGTATATCCCATTAATATAATGTGAAAAGTAATGTACCTCGCGTAAAGTGATGTATCCGACCGATACATTTCATAAAGCAATGTGTCAGAGTTATACATCACAAAAATTAAGAATAATTTTTGTAATTTTTTCAAATAGTGAAATTTTTTAAAGAATATAACAAAACTAAGTTGTCTATTTAGATAATTTTTCCTATTTCTGTTGTTGTTTGACTCATAACTGAATTGTTACTGACAAAGCAATGTAACTGCAAAGTGTAAACTATCCATTGGGCCGTCAAAATGGCAGGCCCATTCATCTCTAGCGAGTTTGACGATGCAATAATTCAGCCCAATTTTTAATTTGGGGAGTTATACATAATATACAATTTATCTAATCGATATACAAATACAATTCAAGTCTCTCTCATTTTTGACCTCTATCTTTCAACTCTCTCCCAGTATCGCTCGCCTCTCTCCTCCCTATAACATGTAGCTACAAATTGTAATTGTTAAACTATAGCTATGGAGAGTAATTAGGTTATTTTTGAGTGGATATATACGAAAGTTTCCCTATTTTAAAAAATAAAAGTCGGAAGATGTAATTGATTAATTTTCAACTGTTATAATTGTTCAGTTACCATCGATGGTGGGTTATCAGTCAATTCTTACAATAAAGAGTCATCTGAAAGGTAACATTTACTAACTTTTAGGTAACTTTACCTTAGTTATTTGCGAACTCAGATAGGAAGGTGGGGGAGGACACAAATTTTGGAAGAAAGTTGGTATATAGGAGTGTGTCCATACTAGTAGGAATGAGTACATTGTCTTGTTTCCTTTACTAGTAGAGTTGTAGTTGTAGGACTACTCTTGCAATTTCTTGTTCTTTTATTTGTGGTTTCGTGTAGTTTGACGTACCATTTTGTTGTAGTATTTTTTTTTACTATCGGTTGTTTTTGTAACTATCTATTGCCTTATTTTTACATAAATTCCATCTTTTTTTTCTAGACTATTTTTGTCTTGAGTGAACGATCCATCGAAAACCACCAATGTGCCTCAACTTTGAAATAGAGATAAGGTTCATGTACGTTGTACCCTCTTCATCCCCACTTTGTAAGACCAAGTTATGTATGTTGTTGTTGACAATGTAGGCACAATGTTGCGTTATGGTAGTGTTAGTTTTGCGAGCAAGCCCCTGTGTGATAGCTAGGCTCACTCTCAAATTGATCTGACATTGAACCAATTCTTTATTAACATGCCAAAGAGCGGAGTCATATTATCTTATTAAACAATCGAGATGTCAACCACTGGATTCATTATGTAAAACTTCAACTCGTTGCTTTAAGAAACATGAAAGTGAGTGATATGGTTTATATAATTTGCGTTTCTTGTTTTGATATATAAGGCACATAACATTTCAAGGCCTTCTCTTTGCTCATTCAAAGAAATCCTTCATGGAACATGTCTGTTTACCAATACTTGATTAAGAGAGAGAAACAAAACAACAATCAAGACTCAAGAATGAAGTTTTTCTATTTGCAGAAAAAACTCAACCAAGTCACTTTATCTGTCTTAATTCTTCTTGAATACATACAAAAATATCAAAACTATTCTAGCAATCTCCACACTGGAGTTTGATTTCTATTTGTTGCAAATCGATGCACCTTAGATGAAAACAAGTAAAGTTATTCAGCAGTATGCATCCAACTCGATGAATCTGTAACAGCACACAGATCTACATGACTCAATCCCTTTGACTTCATTTTCAGTTTAGATGTAGGTAAGAGAGGGGGGTGTCAATCATTCTGTGACAAGATTATTGAATGAAAGCTGATACCCGTAATAGCAAGTCTCGCCGCCTTAAAGATATCCTTCTCTCCTCCCCTTTCCCTTTTATGTTTCAATATCTATGTCTAGTACAGTTGAAATACCTCAAAAAGTTTATGAAGACAATGCAAATCAATCACACTTGTATTAATTAATTTCAAGAATGAATCTACTTACAGGGTATAAATACTTAGTGATCTGCTAACTTTGGCTTGTATAATGGAGGATCTTCCCCAAGCAAAAGTGATGTCAAGACAGCTTCACACACTGCAGTTTCATACACAAGCAAGTGACCACAGTCAGGAACTTCGTGATATCGAATCCAGGGCAGCCTTTGCGAGACGTGTCTTTGTAATTGAACAGGCACAACTTTGTCTTTGACACCTTGCCAGATGTGAACTGAGCTTTCATTTTGAGGGTATGGGTCAGTTAGCTCCAACGGATTAAAATCCCATTTTCCAAAAGCTACAATAACGTCACTACAGAGGGAGTCAAATATACTTCGGTCCTTAAGGCCATCCTGTAAATTAATGTACAGCTTCTGATCAAATTTATCATATTTACGGAACCTAAACATGTAGTGAGTGACTTTTACTGCCAACAACCAGAATAGCGATTCGGATACAGCAGATCATACAGGATGTGTTCTTTTTTTGTCTGAATGGAACATTACCTGAGTGAACAACTGATATCCCGGTGTATTCTTCAAGACTTCCAAGTCTCTCTCACAGAAAAATTGAGGATTTCCATCAAGAACAGACGCTGATGGAAAAACTTTCTGAGTCAACCACCAATGTAATATCCCCCGAGCATAACATGTGATCCAAATTACCCACCGAGAGAGTTGTTTCCTGTAATCATTCTTCACTAGATCCTTAGGCAGTGTGTGCCATTTATAATTGACAAAGGGAACGACGAGAGCAACACCTGCAAGCCTGCAATGGATTATACTTCAAAAGAAAAATCTAGTAGGCCTAAACCTTAACCAGTAAAGCCAACAAGCTAAAAGCTCTCAAGTTAGTTCTCTAACCTTCCAGGAATGTGCTTGATGCAACTCCAAGCCGGGTAACATCCCAACGACACACCTATTACGTAGAATCTGGATCCTAATTCCAACAGATCAGCTAGCTCTTCAATATCAGACGCTTCACTTTTAAGTGATCTTTTTGAATTTATATCACTCTCTCCATATCCAGCTCTATCAAAGATCAAAAGGTATATCCCCAATTCATCAAGAAGTTCCTGGCAGCTAGAGCAATATTAGATCATCCTAAACTAGACATTTTTTGACAACCTAATTGAAGAATAACATCTCCTTAGCACAAAAAGAACACACTTCCCCACTCCCTCAAAGAATCTAAATATGCTAACCACAAAACCAATGTTGCTCGGACTCTCAAAAAATATCTCCAACTGCATGTCAGATCCTCCAAAAGTAGTGCATTTTTGGATTCCACGCCACATAACACAAAGCAGAAGAAATTTTCAATTACTTACTCTGCCTTTAAGTCACTTCAATTATCACAGTAAACAGTAGTTCTAACCAGGTAATGCCAAGTTCAATTGTTCTTGAAAAAAAAACAACCATTTATGGATCTATTAATTTCAACCCTTTCTCTTCAAATCTATGATATTGGTACCAAATTCACAATTCTCTACCAGTATCAGTCTCAAACTGTAAAAAGTAATATTCAAAATCAAGAAACTATGGTGTATAGATACAAATCAAAAAAAAAATTGAAAGAGGAAGAGAATCTACATACATCAGAAGCCATAAAGCTCATTTCTTTAGAACTGCCAAAGCCATGAACAATGATGATTCTGAATTTGGATATGTTTTTGGGTACCCCTCTTTCTCTATAAGCAAGATATCTACCATCACCAAGTTTAACCCTAGGTGAAGTGACAACAACAGATTCATTTATAAGTGATTTAGATTCAGTTTTCTCAGTAGAAGGCTCTGTGGGCTGACCAGCACATCCTAGACAACCCATCATCATCAATACAAGTTTCTTGAAAACCATTAATCTTCTGAAAAAAAGGGGACAAAATTAATCATCATGACCAAAAAAAAAATTGGAACTTTCAGTTTATGGGTTTGAATTGGGCTTACCAGATACATAAATTCTTTGAAACAAATCAAGAATTAGTAACCTTGATTGATTGGTAGATGAGGTGTATGGGTATTTGTACTTTTTTCCATCTTTACCCTTTTACTTCTTTTTGACTAATTGAGTTATTAAAGTTAGTTAATACTATGTATCTTATGAGCAATTTTGGTATTAGCCTAATCGCTGCATTATCTTTGGAGTTCTAACGCTGTATTGACATGAGCAAATATTATTAAAAAAAATTTGATTCGATATTTTATATTTGTATTATAATCAAAAAATAATTATGAATGCTAATAAGGCTTGAACTCATATTCTTAGCAAACTTTTGCAATAACGTAATAACTAGATTAAATCTTAGAGATGTCAATATTTTATAAGAAAATTGGAGACGTTGCAATTCTATAATTTTGAAAAGATGAAAGATTTTAGGGACAATATAATGTTGGCTCCAATAAAGTAAATTATGAGATCTTACTGCCAGCACATGTTTTGCTGCCGGGAGAATTATAAGTCAGGTATTTCTTCCCATGTGAACATTTATTATTGTCTCAGTCTTGGGCATCATTTGATTTTGAGATAATATTTTTTTGTTTTAAGAAGAAGGAAAATTTAACAAAACTTGGTAGTGTAAAATAATTGTTGGATATTTATAAGAATAAGAAGATATAAATTATTTAAGTAAAAGATGAAAATGAAAATATAAAATTAAATTATACAAAGTTTTAGTAAGATAATTTTTTGAACGGATTAGAAAGAAAAGTATCATATAAAATAAGGAAAATACTAAAGTACCCCCTCAACCTATGCCCGAAAGCCCAGAGACACACTTATACTACACTAAGGTCCTATTACCCCTTGAACTTATTTTATATGTAATTTTCTACCTCTTTTTAGCCTACGTGGCACTAGCTCGGAAAAAAAAGTCAACCATCGTTGGGCCCACAAGATAGTGCCTCGTAAGCTAAAAAGGGGTAAAAAATTATTAATAAAATAAGTTCAGGGGTAATAGGACTTTAGTATTGTATAAATGTGTCTCTGAGATTTCGGGCATAGGTTGAGGGGGTACTTGGGCATTATCCCTATAAAATATAATCAAATCTCTTTATTTATATATTGTTTATTCAAAAATTTAATTATAATATCGTAGATACATCTCTTTATTTCAATTTGGTAAATAGTAAATTAAATTTTGATTTAGTGCGGTATTCGATAATATCGTCTTGAAATTATCGTTGGTTGTATTGCAGAGTTTAATGTCATTTCTCCAATTATTTCCATTTTTAATGTGAATACATAATAATAGAATATCAACAAGTAAGAACACATCAAGAAAAATAAATTGATATAATTAAAAGATATATATATTTGAATTATTTATTCTTATTCTTTAACTTTCTCTTTGCACTTGTACTAACGAATAATTATTGTATTGATGTAACACCTTTATTAAGGAAATAATTTGATAGATTAAAAATATGGAATACCGAATAACATCAATATCTAATACCATACACACTCAAATACTATAATCTAAAATTTTGTTCCTATATAATAAGTCAAATATCGAAATCATTGGAAAATAATCAAAATGGTTGAAATGAATTACTGAGGATGAAATGAAAGATATAATAATTGTAGTTGACTAGAAATGTAATTTAATGATTCTTTGCGAGGTGAAATTTAAGTTAAAAGTCATTAGTTCCGTATCATAATCTAGAGATTCAAAAGAATGAAGATTTTATTCTTGCATTTCATATACTATTGAGGAGCTATTTATACAACTATATACATAACGATTCATCATTTTCTGAATCAGAATTATGAAGAATTATTCGATTATCATATCATAAACTTAATAAATAGCCAATGTCATACAATTTTGTTTTAAAAAATCTAAAGCTACATGCCATTAGACAGTAAAATTACTTGTAAAAGCGAAGTAGAAATTTATATTAGAATTTTTATGGATAAAATAAAAATAAAATATAAATCATTATTGAACTATTAAGATATTGACTTATTAATTATTAGTTTCTAGACATGTTAGATCGTTATAGAACCAATATTGATTAATCAGTGACAAAACAAATGAGTCATATTGGACATGTCACATGTGTTTATAGATTCATATTGCTTAAAGGCAAATATTAGAGCATTATAGAATAATTGAGTGTTTGAGATATCATAAAATAAAAATACGAAATTATATCCTAAGTCAAGAACTTATAGGTTATCAATTTATCGATTTCGATTTAATTTTAAATAATTCTAGATCGGAATCAACTTTTGAAGGCCGATGATAACATTTTTTCCCCTTTCATATCAAGAGGACAAGGGTGTAGCTATAGCTACTCCAGGCTGTCCCCTTCGTCAGAAAATTACCTTCTATAAATATATGACAAACTCTACATTTAAATGATATATATTTAAGCTGGACACCCTTAACAAAAGTTATGTCTTTAGTATAGTGATAATGCGTGTCCATTTGAATGAAGAAATGCCTCGATTGTATCACAAAAAGCACAATATTTTTTATTATTATTTTAACAGCTACACACTATTATTTTAGGAGGTTCAATATTATTATTATATATGATAGGTGTGAAAATTACTCGATATCGATGGAAATTATTTTTTTATAATTTACTTGAAAACCAACTCTAAGCGATCTTGCACATGCGCATAGCTTAATGCTTACGAGGAAAATTAAAATATTTGGGTAAATATATTGAATGTCACGTATATTATTAGAGAGACAAAACAAAGTTATTGACAACTCGTTAGCGTATGTATGGACACTAACTATAATTATTCAAATCTACCCATGTTACAAATAACGTATGAGACACCAAAAGAAAGAAGAAAAAAATAATCATCAAATTGCTTGATTCTTTTGCGTCTCAAATCAAACTATTGGAGAAAAAAATATGTAGTTTACTTTTCTACTTTCGGTAATGGTTTAAAATTAGGAAAAATTGTATATAATAGCAAACTAATAATCTAAAATAAATGAAGTAGCTAGAGTTTGATTTAATTGTGCTCCATAACAAACGTTAGCTAAATTTTGTCAGGCGTCTTTCTCCCAAAAATCCCGCTCGCCACTTGCCATTCTCGCTCGCCTCTCTCGCTTTATGCACAGAAGTGTATAAATTCTGTTTGTGTTTTGTATAAAGCGAGAGAAAATTATATATACACATGCAAAAATATATATCTTTGTGTTATACACTTAATTATACAATTTACAAACATTTTACTTCAAATATTGCAGAGAAAAAGGCGAACAAATTATACAATTGCGAATTATACAATTGCAGTGAAATACAATTTTCTCTAGCTTTATACAACAGAAGTGTTTCTGTTTTTGTATAAAGCGAGAGAAAAACATACATCTTCTTGCTATACACTTATAATTATGCAATATATATACATTTTAATTCGATTCAACTGTATGCAAAGTAAATTTTTTAAAAATATTGCAGCGAAATGGGCAGCGGTCTATACAATTACAGCGAAATAGGCCAGCGAATTATACAATTTAGGCCAGCGAATTATAAAATTGTATATGTATAGTGAATTATACAGTTTTATGTTTGTTATGGAGCGCAATTATGCAAACTTTGCTATAGCATACAAATATGAATTTTTTATTTGCTATAGCTAAAACTAAACAATACAACATTACAGAAGGAAACATAGCAAGAGTAACAGTATTCATTCTAAGGAAGTTTGATTATGCAGCAGAAGCAGATAGTAATACGAACAATGAAGGAATCCATGTTTGATAACAAACTCAGTAACCATGTTTGGTAATAAAACTCAATCAACATTACAGAGCAATAACATAACCAGACTAGAATCTGTTTTTTTATGTTATCGAATTTGACAATTGAAGCAGAAGCAAGTAGTACTACGAGCAATGAAGGCAAAACCCTAACAAGGAGCGTATTGCTTGGACTAGCCCTGTAAATTGGGATATGGATGTTGTTGGGGAAGCAGAAAGGACCTCAAGATGGGTTCACCAACAGGACCAGCCTTCCAGAAATCATGTGGAACATCAGGAACTTCATGATAATGAATCCAAGGTAACCTTTCACATACATATCTTTGTAAGGTACTAGTTACTACATCGTCCATTTTGCCATGCCAAATATGAACTGAGCTTTCATTTTGAGGGAATGGATTTTCCATTTCTAGTGGATCAAACTCCCAATTTCCCAGACCCACCCTAAAATCTTGAAGAACAGAGTACTCGAAAGCATTTTGAGTCGGATAACGTTTCTGCAAAATTAATGAACATCATCAATCACTGATAAAAATTAATTAAGAGTTAAGTAAGTGAAAAACTTTACCATATTATCAGATTGCTCATCCTGCTTGTCCTTATCGGTAAACAAAGAGGCAGTGCACAATGGAACCCCGTCAAATTGTTGTATGAAAATAGAGTAGAGTAGTTGAGGATAATGACAACAGAACCAATAAATTATTCGCACAAGCTTGTTCGTATTGTCGTATTTGATTAAATCTGGAGGAAGAGATTTCCATTTGTAGTTGATCATCGGAGCCATAAAAGCCACGCCTTTTATCCTGTGTGGTATGCGCCTGAGGCAATTCCAGGTAGGATAACATCCCGCAGAATTTGAAATTAAATAGAATTTAGATCCTATTTGTAGTTGATCCGCCAATTCTTCAATGTCACAACCTTCACTTTCTACTGACCTTTTCATGTTTTGATCACTTTCCCAATATCCAGCTCTGTCATATTGTACCATATAGATACTCATTTCCTCAAGCACTTCCTAAACAATGCAAAAAAAATTCAGCATTAACGTGCCATTAAAAACAAGAAATAATGTATTATTATTATTCATACTTGGCTTGCAAGAACATCAACTTCTTTGGCGCTGTGAAGCCCATGAACAGTGATGATTCTGTATATGGATTTGTCCAGCGGAACTCCTCTTTCTCTGTATGCTAGGTATCTTCCATCCTTTAGTTGAATTCTTTTTGAACTACTCTGCAATTTACAACCATCTTGAGTCTTTTTATTACAACGATTCAATCTCACAAGACTTAATATCTGCATTGTAATTCTCTTTAAATGTATCTCCATGAACGTTATCCAAAGTAACACAATAAAGCCAATAACTATCCTTAATTGCATTTCTAACAAGAGTGATGATTCAAGATTGCAAAACAAATTATTGGAATAGATCTCAACTAACGTTATTAGAGGAATATAAAGTACATCACCCTTATAATTGTATTGTGAATAAGGTTTAATGAATTAATAAATTAATGGGAGTGGGAAATGCATGATGAATTAATAAAATGTTTGATTAGTTGTCTCACCTATTAATTATCTTCTACATATATAACGTGCCTTCAACCTCCTTTAAACAAGGAAAAATAATGATAGAATTAAAGCAAGGGAAAACGTGCGAATATATACATATATTACCATTCAACACCTCATCCAGATGCAAAAAAAAAAAAAAAAAACTTTAATTCTTTTTCTACTCGACGGATCTGAATAAAGAGGGATAGTTTTTAAATTCGAAATTAAACTCTTAATAGTGGATAAACATGATGTTTAAAAATTTAGAGGACTTTAAAAATAAAACAAATGGCCACTTAAAAGGTAGCATTTGACTATAGATTTTCAGATATTTTTGACAAATATTATGTGAATGAAAATCTAAATGAAATTTATAGTATTTTAGAAATAAATTTCACCTATTCAAACTTCAACTGTGCATAATATTTATCGACAAAGTCGATAAATACCCATTCATAAGGCCCAAAATTTTTTTGTCCTAAACCTGTTCGAATTTGGGCTGGGCTCAGTTTGAGACTGCACAGAAATAATGTCATTTTTCCTAGGGGTCAACAACATTATGAAAGGGTAAATGGGTTTTCAATCATTTTTCTTAATAAAAATTAAGGTTGTTCTAACACAAAAACACCAAATTATCTTCTTTTTAACATGTACATCATAAAAGATAAAATCCAATCAATTTATCTACTATTGTTACAGGAAATTTTGATCTCATTCAATATTTACACCAAGTAAATAACTACAAAAAAAACATATACTTTGTATATTATCAGTAAGACAAAAGATCAAGTTGTTGACTTACCACCACATGGGGTACCAAATAAATAACTACAAAAACATATAATTTGTATATTATCAATAAGACAAAAGATCTACCACCACATCGGGTGGCATGTGAATATTTAGTCTTCTTATATAATCTTGACAATCTTCACCGATCTCATGAAATATTTTTCGACACTTTATTTAACGTCACAATTTATTTTCTTAAATAAGTTATTAGAATCAAATCCATTTCAAGGTATTTACAGCTGTTAGTTTGACCAAATCAAGTTAGCTCATATATAAATTGAGACTTTTGGGAAGTCTATTTAATCCAAATTGGCATATAACAAAATCATATCAAAACATAATCCAAGAAGAAATGTCTTTGGGTTTGATTATGACTAACCAAATTATCTAATCCATTTCTTAATTTAAAAGCATGATCAAAGATATTTGTAGAATATATATAATAAAAACCGAAAATGGAGTTGGTACAAGTAATCATAGTGAGGTTATTTTTAATTATCTTTGGCTCAAATGGTGGAGAATCAATTTTTCATTGTGTGGTTGGAATCAAGAAGCAAACAGGTGGTATTATTTATCGTTCGAAAAAATTCACTTACTATACATTTTTTTCTTCATTCAGTAAAGATTCTTCATTATGTCAAGTTCATACCTTTTTTCAACTCCATTTCTTATTGATAATTACTATTACTAGTATATATTATCTAATTCACCACTAAATTTGTAGTGATTATGTTGTGCAACAATTAATGGTAGAAATTAACATAAATTAATTCAAATATTTTTGTAATGGGATAGTGGTTCGTAGAATATACTAATCTATCATTTATAGGTGAGAACCCTAGCTACTCGCTTATATGATAGAAAATTTTGGTATTATTTTATAATTTTATCTTTAAATATATATTTAATCATGAATTTTTTAATCAGATTTTTATTGTTAAAAAATTACGAGTCACGAGAAACCTTTTTTTTTTTGAGAAATTTGGTAAATACTAAATATCAATTTGATCATAAAATTTATCTAGTTTTGAGTTATTTTATTAATCAAATCCCAACTAATTAAAAATACTTGTGTTGATCTTGTGATTTGAAAGAATATTGATCGTGAATGGATTGTCCGTAGAATATAAAAAAATTATATTAGAGAATAATTAGTTATTATTATTTTTTCTATATTAATGAATCTTTGTAACTAATTATTATTTGATGAAATATAGTAATCAATGATTGTATTAGTAGAAGATTTTCTTAAAATATTGTGTTATGGTTTAGAATAATGTATTAATTAGTTCATTCTACAAATAATAATTTTGTGTCAAACTAATACATATTTTGTCTGACCTTTCAGAGTTTTGGCTATTTGTCAATCATCTTTTTTATTTATTTTTTTAAAAAGGTGAGAAAATATATTTTAAAATTATATATGATCAAACACATTTTAAAATTTCAATACAAATTTTAGCAAAATCCGCTTTTTAAAAAAATTTAAAATTTATCGCCAAACATTAATTAAGTCTTTAAAATTTCTAGCCACGATGAATATATTTTTCCAAATAATACGAATAATCAAACACAATTTAAATAATATATATATACGTTAAATAGGAGGGTCTACTTGTCAAAGAGCAACACAAAGATTTTAAAGTTTTTGTTTGTTCAAAAACAAGGAGACAAATTTTCTGATCAAATAAAGCTCTCCATTAATTTAAATTTATGTCAAACTAATTTGCTTTTAAGATTAAAAATAACTCTCAGATAAATTTCTAATTATGAATTTAATTTTAAAATTAAAAATAACTCTCAAATAAATTTCTAATGATGAGTGGAGAAATTTCTAATCTAAGCCTCCTCAACCACTCCCCAGAGTTTATGCATAAGGGTAGCTTCCTTTGTGTCAGTTTGCAGTCAAATTTGTTATCTACTAGGAACAAAGCAACTACTATTAACTTAATTTATTGATCACAAATACATATTCTCTTCACTTTTATTTTACTTAAATCTTTTTTTTAAAATACTTATCTCTATTTAATAGTATTTGTTGTTTCATTTGTTTTCGATTCTTTATTTAATGTATTATATACTGATGTTTCTTAAAATGATTTACTTGATCTGTAATTTTCTTCGATATAATATTTTTATCTTCACAATATAAGAAAAAAGTAGCATTACATCTCAAAATCCTTTTTGGAATTAAATTGGGTATACGTTGTTTATTTTAAATAAAAATAACTAAATTTATTTTATTTATTAATTCAATTCATTTTTGATACGCTTGTTTCATCGAGCATGAGCAATAATCTGTGCTACAGTTTGAATAGTGCAACATATATAATTATAATTATTAAAATTAAGGATAAATAAACTACTTCATCGTTTCAATATATATATTACTTTTAAATTTCAAGATTTAAGCAAATTATTTTTCTTTTTATATATATTTAAATTACTTATCATTATGAATTACAATATTTTTGACATAATTCTTCTGTGTATATATATGTGTGTGTATATAATCGAAATTAAATTATTTGATTCTATAAATTTTGATAATATAAAATGGAATATGGAGAAAAGGGTAAATTGAGAATTCTATTAATAGTATGCTTCTTCTTTCTACTAGTAGGAGTAGGAGTTATAAAGCTGCATAAATTGAGTTTCTTTTTTGTTGATATGACTTGACCTTGGCTACCACCATCAATTGTTTGCAGGCTAGTGGTGGACTACTAATCTCCCTTTATACTCCTACCTAGCCTACCATTTAATTTATTTAATTTGGTTATCACTAAACTTTTTTATATTTATTAACAAAAAAAGAAAAAATATTAGGAAAAGTTGCAACTTTTTGTTACCTTAAATACAAAAGTTTGTTTGATGCTTTAAGTAGCTTCAGAATGTCCAAGATGGTATCTGCAAATTCCATCTAATTTTCCTTTTAGGGTGTTGTGTGTTTCTCACTTATCTCTGATGTTTGATTATGATAATTAAAAAGAAAATTGTCATAAAATATTTGTGTGTAATTTAGGTTGCACAGAGGGATCTTGGGGTGTGGGGTTATGTGGTATTAGATGAGTAATGTGAAATGTATTTATGAAAAAAAATAAAAAATTTAGAGTATGACCATCTCAATTCTTATTCTTTTACAATATTGATTCTTCATATTACATCTCAATTCTTATTTTTTACAATATTGATTCTCCATATTAAATTCCCTACGCTGGAACGTCCAAAAATCTCACAATCACATGAAAAAGGTATGAATGGTCTCCTTATTATAGTCGTATGCTTCTTTCTTTGCACTTAATTAGCATATTGTTGAGTTGATAAATATGATATTATTAAAAAGTATTTTGTGTGTAATTTTTGTCAATATTTTATTCATTACTAACTATCACCGTTACTAACTATTTCTATCCTCACAATTACCCTACTACCATTATTGTCATCAACGACTAACTATCACTATCAACCATCATTGTCATCATAATCACCATCATTGTCAATCACTATATATGATCAGTTGCTATCATATATTTCACGTTTATTATAATTATATCTACTGTCACCATTGATGAAATAGGAATAGATTGAAGTAAATATAATTAGTGAGTTAGTTAGTCTTTTATCAAGTTAGTTAGAAATTAGTTATTGGCATCTTAACTTGCACATGATAGGTAGTTAGATATAATTAGTCACATTATAAATATGCTGTAACAAACCAATATTGTAATTCAATTTTCTGCAATATACAATACACAGTTTTCTCAATGAGTTTTCTTCTTCTTCATCTTCTCCATCTTCTATTCTCTTCATCTTCATAGATTTAGTTACAAATTTTCAATAATTCAACATGGTATCAGAGCAGAAACTCATGATTATGAGTTAGATCCTGCATAATCTTTGTAGAATTCTTTAATTTTGTTGAGATTTTCTGTTGATTTGATCTTTAACAATGTCTAAAACTGACATTGATCATAATCATCCACTTTATCTTCATCCTTCAGACACTACTGGAGTTGCTATCATCTCAATACGATTGACAGGATCAGAAAACTATTCATTATGGAGTCGAGCGATGCGAATCCAGCTGTTAGGAAAGAACAAGTTGGGATTGATCGATGGTACCTTGAGTGTGGACAGTTTTGATAAAGAACTTAGTCATCAATGGAATCGTTGCAATGCAATCGTAGTGGGATGGATTATGAGTTCAGTAGGAAAGGAGTTACTTACAGGAATATTATATGCCAAAGATGCCAGATCAGTCTGGGAAGATCTAAGAGAGCGTTTTGACAAGGTCAATGCATCAAGGATCTATCAGTTGCACAA